CTATAAATGGTCATTTTCAATAGCTATGTAACAAATTACCAATTGATAAATCCCCATAAATCCCATGGCCACCTGAAATCCCATGGTTTTTTTGTCCCAGGCCACGGCAGACGAATGTAGCACTGCGCCAGCAACCCCACGGAGGCCAACATCGCCACGCGGCCGTGTTTCAGCTCCGCAGCCCGCAGCTGCTTGAACTTCCCCTCGTCACCTGGGGGATGCCATATGGGACCCATGGGATTTTACGGGAAGATTTCAGTTGTATAGTGGTGATATATAGAGTGGTTATATACTGATATATATATATATGGAATATATGGTTATATACTGATCTAGTGGTGATATTTTTTGTGGTGATATATGAAATATAACAATCTAGAAATGATGGTAGCCTCTGGTAATTCGGCAGTTTGCGAACTGAAAGCCATGGCCAATTTAGTTCGATGATCTATACACTATTTCAATGGTGATTGTCCATGGCAAATTGAAGAATGGCGGGAGGGTATACATTTCGAACCATGGGTTAAGGCTGGTTACTAATGACTTTATATGTGGTCAAAACCACTAATAAATAATCCCTGCTACACTATCGCTGGCATCCCTCGATTGTAGCTACATCACCATCCCAATGTTCCCCCTGTTGAATCAATGAACTTCCAAATGTTGTGGTTAAATCCTCCATGTATGGTGCACAGGTTACCCTCCCAGTTCCACCCACGAAAAAATGCTTGGATTCCCCATATTGCTGGACTATGAGTCCCATCATATCCCCATGGATGTCATATCCCCATCCCCTGTGATTCCAGAGTAAATATATCTATATGTCCTATTCATATCCCATGAATATCCCCACATAATCCCATCCCCCAAAAAAAAAAACCACTCAAACATGGTTTCCGGCGTAGGGATTATCTCCCATTAGATCTATTCATCGGATTTCATAGGATATACCATTTGGTTATTTAACATAGCCATGGAAATTTGCCCATTTATAGATGGTTTACCTATTAAAAATGGTGATTTTCTATGGCTACGTGAAATACCCAGAGGGGAACTATGATTTCATATAGGATATTCCCGATTCATATCCCATCCCCAGCTGTCCACCTGGTGGACAGAGGCCCAGTGGGTCGAAGTAGCCCAAGGGTTCCATAGCTCCGGGCTCGGCCTTGGGGTCAAAGGGCATCCGCCGCTCGCGCAGCTTGCGCTTGGCTGGCGCCTGGAGGTGCAAAATGCGATGTTGGAAGAGTTACGGTGATATCATGGATATACTGAAGAATAGTTATATATATATACATATAATGTATATGTATATCATGTGTATATAGTGTGGGTGTGTACATATGTAATCATATGCATATGTATATATATATATGTAGACAATACCTATAACAGTTGTCAAGGTTTAAATCAGTATTGGTTACTCCCTCCCAAATACAGGGGAGGAAAAACTAATCAAGAAGTCAAATGACCAATATCCTCCCCTTGTGCCTATGATTTGTAATGAGTTGGAGCAACCCTGGGTTCAAGTAAAAATGAACCCTGATTGTGGAACTACTGTATTAAGGTGGTTGCAAGCCACGTGGCCCCAAATCGAGTTTCACAGTACGGAAAAACAGCCTTTGTTCGTTGAAGTATAGCAACCTGCAAAAACATAGAAAAGTAGCGTCCTACCAAAGCGGTGGCACAATGGCACAGTACAATCTCAATCATGTTGAGGGCTGCTATGACGTGCAGCAATGATGAAGGATGTGATGTGCCTTCCTTTAGCATAAAAGAACAAGATTCATGATTCCCCGACTGTTCTAGGAAGTGGCATATCCTGATCTGATCCAATGTAGTGTAATTGCTCCAAACCTTTATAATCCAGGGAGTGTGCAGACTCTCATTTCCATGAACATTACAATATATTACAATTTTCAACAGCTCTGCAAATACAACAAAGCTGGAATAGGTAAGTGCCATCCTCAAGCATAAGCCGTCTCAAGTACCCACCACAACCAGCCTCCTCTTCTTCCAACTCCACATCTTTCACTTCCATGGCAACCTCCTCCTGCGCCTGCGCCTCCTGTGCCTCCTGCGCCTCCGCGCATCGCCTTACCCGCCCACGGCGGGTTGCCAGCAGCGGCACAGCCCACGGGGCCCACGAGGCCCACCCTGGGCGTTGCGCCGCGCCGCGTGGCGGCGTGGCCGCAGGCCGCGGCGCTGCGGCGGCCCTGTCCACGGCCACCGTGGTCACCGGGGTCAGGGTCACCGGGCGCAGGGATGGGCGCATCATGGCCATCCAGGTGCAATCTGCGAACAATCAGAAAACCCATCCAACAATCAGGATTGTAGGGACTCAGCTGAGGTTTCCAAAACTAAAAATGTCTGTGATGTCTGCTCTGATGCTGTGGTCTGACGTGTTTTTTAGGTCAAGGCTTCAGATCTGAAAACGAGACGGAGATGCAGACAGGATTTAACCACCTTTAAGGTGATGTTCTAGTTGTCCTCATCAATCCGGAGATGATGTTCACTCAAACTTTCCCACCAAGATATGATGCGACCAGTAAAAATACAAATCAAGAGCCACCCAACAACTTGCTCAAAAATCAACCCAAAGCTTCGAAGTTGCTACATCTTAGACACTCATCTTGCTTCGACCCCAGGTCTGGTGGGACTGAGCTGACCGGACCTTCCACGATCCAAAGTCATGACCTGCACCAGGAAACGCATCTTCTAGGGGCCCCCGGGGCCATGACATGGGGGACTGACATGGGAATTCCTGGGATCCTCTCGGATGATTCCGCCAGTTTCAACCACGAACTCCCCCTGGTGGAATATCCTCAGGAATTTTTCATTCATCTAAATCCAACACAATATGAATTACGTACAATCCCCTGCACTCTACCCCCCAAAAAAGAACATACTCTCCAGTAATCAAACATGGCAATGGAAAATCCTATAAAATCCCCTATAAATAGAAGGTTTTCATGGGAAACTCTTCGACAAAATGTGGGGATTTCCCTTGCCATGTTTGGATTCCCCGCCTCCCAGGAGAGAATGTGATCCAGCATGGCGACCAAGCATTCAGCCTCGCACGGGGATCCCTATTTTGGATGATTTGGGGTACCCCTATTTTAGGTACACATACAGATATATGTGTATATATATAAGATCTCCGGTTGCACTGACTTTTTCCATGCCAGCTATGCACTGCGTGAGTTGTTTTGCACAGACTTCAGCCAAGACGGTTCTCACAAGCGTCGCTGAAGTTGACCCTGCTTTGGATGGACTGCTCAAGGGATGGGACGTAGTGCAGGAGGGTTGTCTTGAGCGGCAAGGAACATGCATTTCACCATCGGACTTAGAAGTGCAAGATCTCCGGTTGCACTGACTTTTTTCCATGCCAGCTATGCACTGCGTGAGTTGTTATGCACAGACTTCAGCCAAGACGGTTCTCACAAGCGTCGCTGAAGTTGACCCATTTCTCCCTTCAGTTCCTTGTAACTTGTCCAGACCAAAGCAAAAACCACACATTGTTCGGAATTCGTGCCATCCAGAATTCTTCAGATTTTACCAGAGCTGTAAAGAAGAAATCGCACAGGGTATAGACTTTGTACCGTGCTGATTCAGGGATAGCAGAAAGAAATTGAAACGATGACATCTCCTGGATGTAGATCTCCATTACTCGGGTATTTATCCAACGGCCTCTTCTCCGCAAAAATTCAGAATTTTCTGTAACCTGTAATATCCATGTTGCTCCACCAGGACGAAGGCTACCTAAATCCAGAGTCTTATGGTTAAGCCTCACTGAACCCAAACCAAGCTCGCTCATAACTTGTTTGAAGCGTAGCCGCAGGGTTTGACCGGACTTCTGCCATAGCTTTTGATAGGGAGCAATTCTTGAAAATGCCAAATGGACTACCCTTAAAAGATCAGGGATGTCCAACTTTGCGCATTGGTGTCTGGCCGCAGTGAACCTGGTTTTTGGCTCCTTAAGCGCCAAAAGAGCAAAACTGTTTGTGAAGCAGGTATCACACGGCAATAGAAGGTCCTTTCTCGTCGCCTGCAAAAATTCTCCAACTCTCAGTAATGCTCCCCAACACAGGGCAAACATACCAGCCATATCGGTCCACCCCCAAACAAAACATAGGGATATAGCAGAAAGTAAAACCTGCCATGGCATTGCTAAATGGTGGGCCGTGGGCTCGTCCCTGATCCAAGCAAAGGCAAGGTTCCAGGCCTCTTGCAGTTGCCTTTTCACAGCAGGCTTTTTCGAAGCTATGGAATTTATAGTTTCAGCGTAGTGATTGTAGGGTCTTCCAGCAGAGTAAAGTACACGCCCGTATCGGACCAGCTGCTTGTTCAGCTCGTCAATGTACACATGGTGATGCTCCAGCAAATTTTCCAGCGATATACCTAAGTCCAAAAGCCAGCTCTCAAATTGAGAGATCAACGTGTCTCGCTGCTTGCTAGTGACTCCAAGTACAGGTCTTCCATCCTGCAAGGGAGGCCTCAGGTCTCGCTGGCCTTGTCGTTGAAAGTCACCAGCATTCCGGGGTGCAATGACGCCATGGCTCGATCCTACACTACAAGCTAAAACTACCAAAATCCACCTAAAGTAGCTGACCCTGCTAACGAGGAAAAGAGGACCTTCACCAGGATAACCCAAGGTGGCATCAAATTCCAAAGAGGGAAGGCGAAGCTCAGAGAGAAGAGGCAAGTCAGAGACAACGCCGAAAGGAAAAGCACAATTGGGATACAGGGCATGGTCAGTGAGATCAAGGGCAGACGGACCCAACATACGAAGGATGAGCCGAGTCCAATTCGAGGCCCATCTCTTTAAACGAGGCAAAGCAGCTAGACGATAGATGTCCCTGCGGCCCCAGGCGGCTAAATCCAAGCCAGGAGTAGGGTCCCTCAAAACCACATCCCTTGTAGGATCATCAGAAGGGTTCAGCCTAGTGGGAGCAAAACCAAAAACGGGATACAGTCCTCCAATGATACAAAAAGCCGCAAGCCTGGAAAGAGCCCGAGAAAGGGCCTTCGATGAAGATCTACCCTTCGAGGCTGCACATCTCACAACATTCGAGTCAATAAGGATTACTAATCGGAGAGAGACCCCACGTTTCACGAGCTTATGTATTAGCCTTAGCACAGCTTCAAGTTCAAGAATGTTTATATGAGAGCTAACTCGGTAGGTCCAGACAGACACCAGCTCCCACTTCTGAGAAGAGCACAAATCATTCAGCATCTGGCTTTCCAATCCATCCACTGAGCCATGTGCAAGGCTTGCTTCAAAAGCTGACAGACGCAGGATCCCATAGGCCATCACCTTAGCTAGCGCAATTGCAAGATCATGGACATAGGTTGCTGAGGCTTTCGTGAATTTACCTTGGACCAGAACATGTTTGTGACCTCCAGCGCATCTTAAGGAAATATGTTGCACTTCGGCCCAAGCACACAAAAATGCAAACGATTTGAGGTGAACTGACCCGTAAGCACAGGAGTCGCATCTTACCAAAGCAACATGTTCACAACCTTGCAGTGATTTCCATGCAGGGAGAAACTTGATTTTTGAAGACCATGGGTTCTCGATCACTCCAGTCACTCCATGCTTTACGCAAAAATGCAAGAGTTGAAGCGCTCTGTGGGCCAGTTTGGTCCCTGTCCTCGTATGCAACTCATCAGGCTGGAAACCAAAAGGTTGATGCTTGGATCTCAATGCTGGTCTTCTCATGACACTAAAAGTCGTGCAAGGAGGCTCGAGCATTATGGCTTTCACATAGCCGTTGGTTACCAAATGAATCAACCATTCCAGCACATGCAACCTGTCAACGTCCAGCTCAGCACTAAAGGACAAGTCAACAGGCGGACCAACAGTAAAACCTAAGGCAGCCACCTCTTTGGTTACAACTGAAGCACCAGCAAAAACCTCAATGAAATCAAAACGATAAGCCAGGGGCCTCTTAATACTGTCAGAAACGTAGGGCTCGTTCTCTTCAAAATCCAAGGCACGTGCCAAAACTGATTGGGAGGGTGATAGCAATTTAGAATAGCCACCCTTGGATCTGCAGCAACGCAACAAGCAGGTGGCCAGATCCTTGTCAATACGGCTCTTGACAATTGCTCCTTTGTTCAGTGATGCATCCGTCGCAAACAGCTCTGTGCAGAAGTCAACAGCAACATCGGCAACGCATAGAGGCGCTAGGACGCCTAGTAAGCACAGCTCTGTTGCAACCTTTCGTGGAAGGCTCACTAACTTGGGGCTCGAGGCATTAAAGAAGGCCATATCAACAAGCTGGAAAGAAGACTGCAGGATTGACATGAAGGGTCGCCTAAACATAAGCGCAGACGTCCAACCACCAATCAAACAGAGATGTAAAGCGTCTGTCGTATGAGTCAACTGGCTTACCTGAAATGAAATCCAAGAGAGAGCATATCTTTTTTCCGCAGGAGCTGCTACCAACACATGTCCTTTTTTCTGGCATTTTTCTGAGGCATTGACGCTAGCACCTATGATCTTGGCTTTTCTGGATCCAACAATGTCTTTGTCATCAGAGCCAATTATCTCGTGCTTCGCGTACACCTTTTTGGAAGTGCTAAGGCATGAAAGGGAAGGATCTGCAACCAACACACTTCGAGGCACTTTCGCAATCACAAAGTAGTCATCAATCACCAGTCCTTCGCAAACTTCATCACCTTGGAAAGGACGGGAAGACAAAACCCTGGAGGTTTCATTCAAAAGCCCAACTGACTGCAAAAGCTGCTCATGTGCTCTGGTTGCAATTTCAACACTGGCATGGTCTCCCTGAAATAAAACTACCAAAGCTCACCATACAGAAACCCTCGGGGCAAGCTGAGAAGGACTGTCTGCTGGAAAGACCAAGGCGGTCCCCACCAACAATACGGCTCTTTTTAGCAGCTTGCTTGGCACATGCAAAAGAGGTCATAGCTTGGGTGTCTTTCAGGAGGCCAATAGGAATCCTAGGTCCAACCGTGTTCGATTTGATCCTATTCTCGGTGCACCAAAACTGATGGTAGAAGTCGCGTCTATCAGTGCAGGATATGGAGAGTGTCTCTTCGCGCGCATTTACGAAAAGGTCAAGGAGATCAGGGCCTGACGGCAGGTTTTTGGAAGGTCCGGACACCCTACCCTCCACTGAATTGCGGCCTCTTCTATCACCAATCTGTCTGTCGCACTCTAGGTTCTTAAAACAGTTGAAAACCCGGACAAGCTCAAAGTGCTTTTCCCTTTGCAAGTCAGTTTCATGTATATGTAGTAACCCACGTGCATCCCATAGCTTTGCCAGCGAAACGACCTCATCTCGCGGGTCCATTCTCAAAGGATATTCGGAGGCACCAGGAGTTCGATCAAGCAGCAAGGAGTCAGGATACCTATAAGCCATGCAAAGTTCAGGGCAAAGGAAACTAGTAGCGTCAAAATGTCCACGACCAACCACCTTCAAACGGCTAGCATCAAGCGTTCTGTAGGGCTCGGTCTCATCAAACAAGCTGTTGTCAAGTGGCACATCATGACCTGGGTAAGTCTTCTCATAGGGACCTGCTCCAGCACCTAATTTTGTCAAAGTTCCAGACAGTTGGTGAAAACGTCGACCACTGCGCAAAACCTCAAAAGGCTCAGTCGGGCCGTCAGCCAGCATAAGGCCAGCAAGCCTACGGAGAATTCGCATTTGGCTTGCTGATGGCGCCCTCTCCAGATGCTCTAAAGGGATAAAGCAGCTTCCACTCCACCAATTTCTAGTTTAGGGCCATCACCACAACGTGCAAAGCTCGCCTAAAATGGCAACGATTCCTCTTGGAAGATGAAAGACCTGGAGGCATCCTTGCGAACACTCCACAGAAGGGGACAGGCAAGGGGAAAGCCGGCGATGACGAAGTCACAGTGCTTCGTTGCAGATGCAAAGTGGCATGAAGGAACGCTGAAAAAGAGGAGCGTGTCCTCAATACTGAAATGGCCAAAAATGAACACCATTTTTTAAAGGACAGGGTGTCCACTGGGCTCCTATGAATTCCTGTACGCTTCAGGGCTTGCACTTCAAAAGGGTCATCCTCGGATGGGCATTGGCAAGGACATGACCTACATTTCATGCAAACAGAGTCAAAAGTTTTGTGGTTAACTCTATCATTAATTACTTGAGCTATTTGTTCAGAGGCAACTTTGCACCCTATGAACTTCTGCGTAGGCTTCTCATTTTTTAGGCCTCTGGAGCGGCCTTTGCTTTTGGCTTGCGAGGAAACCTCGGCTTCCTTTTCGGGGATGCTTCGCGATCTGGTTCGATAGCTGCTGCGCTTGGGCTGCCTTCGGTTTGAGAGGGCGCCTTTGCAATGCGTTTTGCTGTCTCTCCCTTCTTCGTGGAAAGGACTTCCAGATCTTTCAAATAAGCCAGGCAAACTGCTGTCCACGGCGGTGGAACTAGAGGGCCAAAAGGCCTTGGTGAGCTATGCTGGCAGCCCGATCTTGGAAAACTTGGATCGGCGGTTCTTCCATCAAGGTAAGCATGAAGGCCAGTGTCCAGTCTCCTCTGTCGGTTACAGCCTGCTCGACCGAAACCATCAGCAAAGCGAGCAGTTCCTTCGTCATATGAAAGTCTCCTGCTGATGCAGCATCTAGTGCATGACCTAACACCCAGGCAACTAGACCTAGTTCCCGATTGTTCTTGTAACCTCCTTGTCTTTCGAGGTATTGCAACACTGACAGGGATTTCAGGTTTTCCTCTGTCTGGGGGACAGGCTTGGAGGGATGAAGTCTGCGGTGCAACTGCTGCATCATCTGCAAGAAATACTGGCTGTTTCCACAAGCTAGATCGTTCTGCATTTTCTCTCTGCGTTGAACGCCTTTGTTGAACTCCCAACCTGCCCTGGTGTAGCAAGATCTCCTAAGACATCTCCTGACTGTTCCGTCAGGTGAGCTACCAAGGCTGTCAGCGCTGTGCTCTGGTGGGTCAGCGCAGCAAGCATTCCATCTGTACCTTCTTGGGGCTGCAATGCATCGTACGGCTCGTCTCCTTCGACAGCGGCTGCACCTTGGGTCCCGACCACATTTCGCGTCTTGGGAGGAGGTCCTATTAGGCTCAGTGCTTTTGCTCCAATAGTCTGTGATACGCCACTGGGATTCGGCAAGCCCGCTGACACAGCCGGCAATTTGGAAACCGGCCCAACATACTGTCCTGGCACATCGGCGGCAGAAGAGCTTGCCATCTGTTCCATGCGATCCTGACGTTGAGTGATCAGCTGGAGTTGGGCAACCACTGCCGTCAATTGATCGGCGATCATTGCATTCGATATTTTCTTGGCCGTGGCTTTCTTGGGGGCTGTAACAGCCTTTGGAGGGCTTGTTTCCTGGTCTTCTTGAGCGGAGTAAAAACCCGTCCTGTCATCAGATCTCAAAAGGAGCCACTCACTGACATGAGCCAAGAGCACCGATACATCAGGCAAACTGGAAGGACGCTCATTTGAAAAACCAAGGATCGTTGCAAGGGAGTCAGTGACTGGATCATACTCCCTACATTTTGACAAAATGTCATCATGCACATCAACTACAAACACCTGAGCCTCAATTCCGAGAGGCACGGCAACTGGCGTCGGAACATCATCTGCTTCTTCTAGAAGCCCTGCAGAGAAAATTGAATTCGGACCAAGCGGATGCTCATCAGATCCTGTTTGACCATCTGAAAGGGTCTGTGCGGAAAGGCTGTCATGTGGGAGGGCTAAAAGTAAACCTCCCTGTCTGAATTCCAGAGGCAGCGCATACACGTCTACTTCATCCCCTACTGAAGAGGCAACAGCAGGTACAGTAAGCACAAGCAAGGTAGGTTCACCTTTACTTGCAGGCCTCACATTCTCCTTCCTCAGCATTTTGTACGGCGGAAGAGAGGGGGAACTGCGATATGTGCTCCTTGGCAAAAGACTTCCAGCTCCGTCTCCGTTTCAAAACCGTGAAATACACACCCTCCAGCAAAGATCTGCTGACGGAAATGATTGAAATCAGCCTCAGAATCAAATCGAACGACACCGCCGAGCCCGCAAGCACGGAGAACAATGAAGTGAGAACTTTTCTCTGAAACCACCGCAGGGGCAATCTGGTCTGTGAAAGTCTCCAATGCAAGTCTGGCCCAAAAGCCTGCTGAAAACGCAAGGTGGACACGATTCAAGGCTTCGGTCTGATCCCAGGCAACAAAAGCCGCCTGCTCTTCCACAATTGCCGGAACAGGTCCTGGACCCTGATCAAGGGTTCGGAATTCTGGGCCAACAAATTCTGGTCCTGCTTCCTTTTCCAAAGTCCACAGACGGGCGATCTGAGGAATGCCCGGGAAGGAAGTTTTGGGAAGGGAAGTACCCGCAGCTGCAGCACGGGCCTTTGGATCACCTCTACGATAACCTTTTCCAGCCCCTTGAGACGAGCTGGAAGATTCCTCCTTCTTCTGCCAATCTTTCAAGCCTTTCAATGAGATCACGAAGCTCACTGGAGGTAAAAGGAAAGCTCATTCAAGATATCGTGCCAGCCTGGTTCTTGGAGCAGCAGCAGCTGGGAACAAGAAGTGGCAAAGAGGGACGCGGAAAATCCAAAGGACAAGCAAAAGTCCAGAAACAATCAAGCCAGCGGAGAATCCGATGCAAAGTCCAAAGACCAGCCAGGCAATGCAAGAGGGATGGCAGTGAAATGGGCAAGAAGCAAATCGAGAGAACTCGTTAGCGAAGGCCAGCCACTTCCAGACCCTATCAGCTAAATCTACATGCATTTGTCTTGAGCGGCAAGGAACATGCATTTCACCATCGAACTTAGAAGTGCATATATATATATATATATAGAAAGATAATTAGATAGATAGATAGATAGATAGGATAGGATAGGATAGGATAGGATAGGATAGGATAGGATTAGATAGATAGGATAGGATAGGATAGGATAGGATAGGATAGGATAGGATAGATAGGATAGGATAGGATAGGATAGGATAGGATAGATAGGATAGATAGGATAGATAGGATAGATAGGATAGATAGGATAGATAGGATAGCTAGGATAGCTAGGATAGCTAGGATAGCTAGGATAGCTAGGATAGCTAGGATAGCTAGGATAGATTGGATAGATTGGATAGATTGGATTAGATTGGATTAGATTGGATTAGATTGGATTAGATTGGACTAGATTGGACTAGATTGGATTAGATTGGATTAGATTGGATTAGATTGGATTAGATTGGATTAGATTGGATTAGATTGGATTAGATTGGATTAGATTGGATTAGATTGGATTAGATTGGATTAGACCTAGCTTTCCCCTTGCTTCGCTTGGCTTCGATTTGCTTCGAATTTGGCTTCGTTTGCTTTCGCTTGGCTTCGTTGTCTTCGCTTGGCTTCGACTCTGGATTAGATTGGATTAGATTGGATTAGATTGGATTAGATTAGATTAGATTAGATTAGATAGATGGATAGATAGATAGACAGACAAACAGACAGATCGATCGATCGATCGATCGATGGATATAATAAAAAAAACAATCACAAGAGCAATAATAATATGTAATGATAATGGTGATAGTATAGTTATAGTAGTAGCAATTACAACAATGATAATGAACCCCAAATGGCAGTAAATCCAAGGAAAACCGTCCCTTCAACAGACATCCTCTTCAGGATAGCTCAAGTACCAGAGGCTTCCCTCTGGTACTATGGCACTTGAAGATCTGGCACACCAAAAACCCTGATTTCCAGATGATATTCCACTTGAAATTGAGAATGTCTCAATATCTCGTTACCAAGTTGAATTACCAAAGGGTCAACCCGCAGCAAAACTGGCTGATTTCCCATCAAAAACCGTGATCTCAACTTATCTTCTGGGAATTTAAACTGGACATGAATAACACACCATTTCTTGATCTACTACCCTCCATCATTTCGTAACATGTGGAAAACTGTGGATCCCAAGGGAAACAACCATCTGGATTTCCATCGGGTTTTCTCGGTCAAAGAGACCATGTCCTTCTCCTTCGCCGGCAATCCGGCCTGCGTTTCGGTCATCAAACGTGGATGGAAAAGCTCCATAAAAATTACCGAAGAAAACGATCCAACAAACAGGTTGAAGCACCTGTTTCGTTTCTCGAAAGACAGTGCAAACAGCTATGAATACCAAAAAAAAAGTGTCACCAGATACGGGGCAAGGACTACCCGGCTACGGGGCAGGTAACAGTAGCTTTGGAGTTCAACCCCCTTTTTGGCTACATCCACTGGTGAATCCTCATTTTCCCCATGAAAATTCCCATGAAAATTGGAGGCGAATCCTCCATTTTGAGACGCACACCACCCATGTTGCCACGGACCACCCAAGTTGAGTATTGAGACTTCACAAACAGGTGCTTGAACTCAGAACTCAGAAGCCATATCTGGCTACATCTCCAACTCTCCATTGTTTACCTCTTCAGCTAAAATGGTAAAACAATGGTAAACCTGACCTTTTTACCATCCAAACCATCCCAGTAACCATAAACATCTGGTGTTCTATACAGCATCCCAGATTGGGGTCCTGGTTTATCGCTGGGTTGACCCCCGATTGGTTCCCCAGAAAAAAGGTGGAGAAAAGCTGCTTCTATCCACCTTTTTTAGAGCCCTATTGTTGGAATACCATCCCTTTCTGTTGCTGGATTTAATATGATTTAATCCCCCATATCTCCACTGTTGATGGTCACAAGTTTGGTGCTTGTAGTTCTTGTTATGGTTTTGTCCGGCCCTATTGGATCCCATGATTGCTAATCTAACTCATGTTGTTTGTTGGATCCCTGATCTGGTTGAATCATGTTGAATCCCTTCGGCTGGTTGAATCCCGATATGGCTGTTTAACCATCAAAAACCAGTGGGCTCAAGTTCTTTCAACCAACGCACCTGTGGGTTTAAGTTCAGTTAAGCAGTAAACGTGGGGACGTTTACTAGTCTACCAATGGACATTGAAAATATCCTTCAACATTGTGTTTGTTTAAACATAGTTACCAGTAAACAGTGGGAAAAAGTCATTAACCATGGTTTGTTGTCTTTTCTATCAACAAACCTTGGATTGGTTGTCATAAGAAATGTTTGTCTTCGGTTTTGCATGGTTTTGCCAACAGTAAACATTTGCTTTTTAACCATGAAAAATGTTCTTTACAGTTTTTGTACCAATAAAAGAAACCTGGGTAAGACTATATATAATAATGACATATTATTACCGATGAACATCAGGATGGACCAGTCCCACTTTATGGCACCTCAACCGCTTCGCTTTGCAGGTATCGCGCGAAGTCAGACACCACATGCCGAAGATCCTCTGCTTTCAGCAGCTCAAGCAGCAAAAAGCGGAGTTTTTGAAGGAAGAATCTCGAACTTCAAGAAAAAAATGGGTTGAAGTTGATTTGAAGTGCTTCAAGATGCTTTAAGATCGTGAAACGGGGGAAATCAACAGCATTTTTTCAAAAATTTGGGGGTTTTCGTATGATGCAAATATGGCACTACAGCTTGGTGATTTTCACAATGCCAATCCTCTCGCCAGCGGTTGTGCCAACATAGGTGCATGGGTGGTAGGCCGTAGGAGTGACTCGAACCCCAATTCGGTGTGTGCGGATTGAAGTCCAACCTAAGCAGATTCAGGAAAGCCATATGTCAATGGGTTGATTTACAGGTATTTCAGGAATTTGATCAACGAAATTTCCCGGTAGCTGTCATCCCTGAGATTTATGTTTCAACCCTTCATCGAAATCTGGAAATTGGATAACTTCGAAATTGTCTGAGACAAGCAAGAACAACGCGAAACCAGGATACCAGGGAGATACCACGACCAGCGCACTCCAAACTTTATGCACCTCCCAAACTTGGATGTGGTTCCCTTTCAGTGATGCAATAGTTTTTGTTGACCCAGAAAATCTACATGTATGCATACGTACTCAAAAAACCCTTATATAATTTCATCTATATCTCAGTGTGTTTCATATATATATATATGGGTAAATTATAATATTTCACTAACCTGAATTAAGGCTATCTTGGGGATCATTTCCCTTACTAACCAGTATTCCATCCCTTGCTATCTATCCCTTGGTTCATCTCCAAGGCACCACAGCAGGAAGAGGAAGATCAGATCTCCCCAGAGGCGCCGCGACAGCAGCGCCGCATCGGCATCGCTACTGGATGCTGCGGTCTCCGAGGTCGATGCCGTCAGCAGGGACGACAGGCCTTGGCGGATGCGCCGGGGTGCCTTGGGGGATGATGTATATAATATAATATAATATAATATAATATATGTGTGTGAGATGAATTTATGATACATCTATAGAATACTTTTATATATTGATCATCCTGCTGGGGCGTGGCACTCTGGTGGTGCTTCTGTCGTGCTTCCGCTCGCCATGGTGAGCCAGTGTACCTGAAGCTGGGTCAATGACCATGGTATAGAAAATAGGGTTCCCCGGTAAAATTGGGGTTTCCTTAAATGGGGGTACCCCCATAGCTGGATGGTTTATCAATGGAAAATCCTATCAATTGGATGATGTTAAATGGGGTACCTCCATGACTTCGGAAACCTCCAAATGGCCACAAATGGAGTGGCCCATCCCCAATTCTCACCCGTTTCTCCAACCCTGCAACACCAATCATGACACCCACCCGTTCAGCCGTTCTCCCGCCACGCTACACATGTGGCATGCCGGCCCATTGGGGTGAGAGATGCCATTGCAAGGCGTCCCAGATGCAAACCACTGCCCTTTGCACGGCCATCTGAAAGCTTTCACGCCTCTCCTGTGGCGCGGCATGGTCTGCACCCTGGGGGATACAGAACTGGAGAGATTTTGATGACTACCATGGGGCCTCACTGGCACCCACTCAGTACCTCGAACTACACCCCAAGCAAGGGGATCTTTACGAAACAGAAAACAGAAAAAAACATGCCGAAAAAGTGAAAATCTCAGAACTTCATCAAGCTGAAAACCGATAAACTTCACGATGTGTATCATGCACTCCAACAAATATCACTGCACATGTGGTTCCCAAGACTTATCACCACCAAAATTCCACACCTCCGCCGCCCCGAGAAAACACGCGCCCAAAAACCTTGTTTGTTGGTGTACCTCCCCATGTTGGCAAAATCAACCATCACCCGCCATTAAATCCCCCGGAAAAAAAAAAAAAAAACTCTTATTTATAAGACATAACAATTTGCATATCACAAAAGTCCACCCCGAAAAGAATCCATCACTCCGGCGCATAATTGCCCGCCTTGCCCTCCGGCGCCAGCGCCTCATCAGGCACCAGCTGATACCTCTCCCGGTCCCGCACGGACGTGCGGAGGCGTTCCGCCTGCTGCGGCGAATGCTCCGCCGCCTTCATCAAGGCATAGCCACCTCTGATTTCACCAACGGACGACTTCAGCTGGCGGCGAAGAAAAACATGGATTTCAATGGAGAAATTGTTGGTAGCAAAAGTTCAAGGGGCGATCTGATTTGGCTGTTCAATACATGGATGTAGCTGATGTGGACAGCCTAAACCCCTGGGATTCCTGGAAAGCCGGTCCCCTGCGTGGTGCCAATAGGGCACTAGCATTGTTGATGCTAGCGCAGGAAAAGTGTTGACTCCTGGCTTATTATTGACAATGAAGGCTACACAATTTCTACTAGTAACTGAGAGTAACTAACAATATTCTATCATTTTTGGGGGTCCCCCTGCTTCAAAAATGGTTTTGTCATCCAGGTTAACCATTTCAAAGGTGGCAAAAATGCTCCCAAGAGACACCCTTGCATTGGAGGGATCGTCTGCAAGAATCTAAAAGTGATGCTTGAAATCTGTGATATGGAACATTTTCCCTCCCCTCTGTCAGTTGATTTGGTGTGTGTGTGTGTACATACGTACGTGTGTGCCCATATATATATAATATATATATATATATATGATCATATACATGTATGTACTGTATATATATACATATATATATATATGCACATATCATATATATATATTGTAATGTTTACAGATATACGTACCATGCCATACCATACCATACCATACCATACCATGCCATCCAATGTCATCCCACGAAAAAAACCATACCATGCCATAAGATATGTGCCATACAATAATGTGAATGTGTATGTATATAGCATCTGCTTATTTAACATAGCCATGGAAAATCACCATGCTATTAATAGGTAAACCATCTATAAATGGGCCATCTATACCATGGCTATGTTAAATAACCAGAGGGTATATATATATCATGACCCTTTGACGATGATCATCACCACACTTTCCCAAGCCTGCAATCGCAGCAGCGCCCGCAGCGCCACCCACCAGAACCACAGGAGAGGCTTCAGCCACTGCAGCAGCTGCTGCGGTGGCTACCACACGTACGCCTGGCTCGGAGATATTTCATGGGGATGAAAACGACCATCAATGGAGATATTTCATGGGATATATACCCAATATAGCTAAAGGAAATCACCATTTTTGAGAGTGAATTCTAGATGCGCTATTTTCCATGGCAAACTGTTGGTTTTTACCCCTGGTATTGATGTCAAATTCATGAATGGGTTTTAGCCGTATGTAAGCAACTAAAAATGGGATACAAAACCAACCATAATGAGGACCTTGCGGTGAGCTATAATTGGATATATTGTTTGATGGATATGAATGGGATATATCAGTAACAATATCACATGTTGAAACATGTTGGATATAACTTGATATAACCAACAAAATGGTGTTTAACCAACAACAAATGAAGACATAGTGGTATAATTATATATATATACGTATATATATATATTGGTATAGATTGCCAACAAAACTTTTGTCAATAAACCGCAAACTGTCATGGAGAGAGGATGGATATTTTCGATGGGATATACAATCAACAATATGGTATGGGTGTGTCTGAACATGTCGGAATATAATAAATGACGAACTGATGAGTCAATGAGATCTCATTCTTTGTAGCGATGAAAATCATATGTTATGGTACCATCTGGTTATTTAACATAGCCATGGAAAATCACCATGCTATTAATAGGTAAACCATCTATAAATGGGTCATTTATATCATGGCTATGTTAAATAACCAGAGGGTATGCCAAAAAAAAGGAAAGGTTATTTTACCGCTATCTTAGTATGACTCACTGGACCGTTTCTATCTTCTTGGGGCTTGCTGTAGCTTCAATGGGTAACCATCGACGATGGGGGTCACCCGTCAACAAGCCTGATTTCGGAATAAGTTGACAAGCATGATTGGCTTCCAACGTAAAAAAAAGGATAACCTAGGAAAGAACAAGTCACGATCAACATTGTTACTCTCCGCCGTGACCCTATCCCAACTAGCAAATGGCTAAAAGTGTTGAACAGCAAAACGGGACAGAAAACGGATGTTGATCAGCAAGAAATGGGCTATCGTGGACAACTCGGAAAGCCAGGATTGGAACCTAAACATAATATATAATACATATGCACATATACATACATATCCATATCCATATACATAGACACGGAAATATTTACAGTACATAACATATCTAATGGATAATCCCAGCGGTGCGAGGCCACGAAAAAACAGTCCCTACTGGATGATACTGGCTTTATCGTCACTCGCACCAAGACTTGCACTGTAGTCCTTCAAAGGGCGAAAAGAAATATCTGAAATCTAGGACACCCTAGTCATTGAAAATTCGAAGAGTCAGAAGAAAACACCCCAAAAAGAACAACTATGTGCTGAGCAACTGAACACCAGAATTTGGTTGGCCGTCCATTTAGCAGTTTTGTATGTTTACATATATATATATACATAATATGTGTATATCTATAGTATATACATAATATATGTGTATATAGTATATACATAATATATATGTGTATATATATATATAGTATATACATTATATCATATATATATATACTATTTTATATATTATATATATAGTATATACATTATATATATATACTTATAATAATACATACATACATATGCGGGTTTCCCAAAATGGGCGATCCCCAAGTCACTATTCGTTTCAGCAGATTTGGGGATCATCTCCAGCCTGACATTCCAGCAGAGGCCATCACGCGGATGGCATCAAAGGCCAAGGTGGTGCCCCAGACTGTGAGGATGGGATTGGGGAAGCTCCTGGCCATTTTTGGGTCTTTTTGGGTCTGAAAATCGACCCCAACTGTTAAAGGATCCGAAAATACCAAAAAAACAATAGAAATGCTGTAAGTTCCTAAAATTCGGGAGGATAGACATGGCTGTGGCTCGGAAAGTTGATAAATGACCGAGGCCCGCCAGCCCAGCCATCACCGAGGGTCTGATGATACTCTGATGTCCCAAATGGCTTTGTCATCTTTGTCTGAAAATGGGTTACGTCCAGAAGTTCTTGGTAAGTCATTTTCATGATATTTCAGTGGCCAGTCCTCTTGAGGGTTGGGTGAAATTCCAGAAAAAATGTTAAAAGGGGGATGCTGGGACATCCCAGCATTCATTGTTGGTTGTTATGGTTTTTATGTTATTGTTCAATGATTCTTCCTTACCTTGTCCCGAATTTTCACTTCATTGTTTGGTTTAAGATGAGGGTGAGAATTGTTTAGGTTGATAGGGTTTTTGTTTGTGTTTGGGGTTTTACCTTCGCTTTTTCAATATCAGCCATTTCCAACTATCATCCATCCATTTTAACCGTCTTGTTACGGCTTCGTCTTCACCGTGGGCATCAACAGAAAGCACGGCTGACCCGATTGTCGGTCGCAGCGTGGAGTGGGGGATGATGTCATTGAGCCATCGCTTTTTTCACACAGAGGTCATTTTGAATGAACTTTTGACAGAACCAGTTGAATTGAACTTGACGTGCCCGTTGAGATTCAGTGACTGGTTTGCCCTTCATGGCAGCCATTTATCACTCATGGTCCTCATGGTCATATGCCGTGATGTAATCTTGCTGCAACCTTGCAGTACTCGCAGCTCTCCTAGTCACCTCTTCGTCCATGCTTAGTCCATTTTTAAGGCTCCGAGCTGTTGAGAGGTCCGCAGATGGCGCCCAACGTGGGGCGCAGGCCACTCGCAAGGCTGCCTCGTTCATGGGATCATCCGTCTGTTGGGAAGGGGACCTATCATCATTGGTCAAGTTGTTTACACAAATCTGGATCTTTGACAATGATTCAATGGACATTTCTACTGCAGATCGATCCCACATAGATTCGACCCAAGCTATAGCAACGACATGCTGACATACGAATTGCTGAGCAGCTTGAGCTGCAAAGCTTGTCTTTGCTTCTTGCATCAGGAGCTACTTTGAAGAACTCATCCGTGAGTGCATTGCTTGGAACCAAACTCAGAGTGGACTTACTTCTCGCAATGCTCTGTCAGTGTCAATCCTCAACCTGAATTAAACACATATTTGGATAAGGATACATAATCCAGCATGATCTAGTACCTACATGTGCTATGGCTGGAGACTATATAGTATTTTTTTGTAATGCTGTTTTTGTTGCGTAGAATGCAGAAGCCATGATTATTTTCATCACAAACAGCTTAGGTTGTCAATTCGCTGCCATGGCTGGACGGTGCTGACTTTTTTTCTGCCATTAAAAATATAGCTCTCACACCTTGGAGCAGTCACTTGAGCTGCAAGTAACTGTACACCGTGAATGCACTAATATTGCCCAAGGTGGCCAGCAGCATCACGAAACCCCAAACGCCCTCAGGGAGACGCTCCAAACCCATAGTAATTGAGATCATCACTGTCATGGCCTTGTTGAAATTGCCGGCGAAAGTTGTGTACGTTGCAGAGAGAGACTGAGCCATGTCGATCTGGAGCACGTTGTAGGCGCATGCAAACACCCCCAGAAGGCACGCCAAACCCAAAACGCCTGGCGCCAATTGATATACCAGGGAGAAGACCTGGCAATCTGTCATGGGCTCTTCTTCAGGCCAGCTTGGGCTTGAAAGAAAAATGCTTGGCACCAACAAGAAAAGAGCCGCTGGCAAGCTCATGTAAAATGTCATATCCATAGAGCCCAGATTGAGCCTCTTTCCCAACTCGTTGGCCAGGACCATGTTCAGGGCACCGGCAAAAATGGACATAGTCTCAATTGCTACACCAAGGCCCAACTGGTAGTGATGCTCAGGCTCAGCAGCCTTCGACTTTGATTGAGCCAATGTGGCCAAGGCTGCGCAAGAGATTCCACAAAGCATGCAAATGATCTCCTTGACAAAGGTTGTGCTGCTTTTAGGCACTTTTCGAGGGACACAAGTCTGTATTGCAGTAGTTGCGATGGGGAGACAGGAGCGGAGGAGCAGGTTGAGAGAGAGCGGTAAAAACTGAAACGAAAAATTGTTCAAACCAATATTTGCAGCAAAGGATGCAGAGAAGAGCAAGAGCCACCAAACATCCGACAGCTTTGTCAGCGGTTGCGGCATGTAGGGCCATGGCGTCGTCCAGCTAAGAAGGAAGCCGATGCCGAACATCATAACAGCCATGAATTGATGCAAAGCTGTCATAAGAAAGGGGGCTGGCAATCCGTATAGACCAAGTTCCTCCGAAACAACCGTCCTGGAAATGAGGATCTTTGAGAGCAAGAGCATACCAGTCTGCGCACCGAAAAAGACCATGAGCTTCGACGGAATTCGACATCCAGGAACGCCTGAACAGAGACCACCTACGCAAAGCGCCGCCAATGGAATGGAGACCTCCTCGGCAGTGCGCGAAAACGCAGCGTAGGCTGATACATGGACGTGTGCCTGCTGCCTGTTGGAAAAGCAAAGGCAGGCGACTGCCAGCACAAGAATCCCATGCAACGCACGACCACGTCTGAGACGGAACTCAAATGCCGTCATCAGAACTCAGCAAACAGCCGTTGCGCTCTTTCACTACCCTTCTCTCCAGCCCAAACAATGCCGGCAACAGACTTTCATCATGACAATGAACGCCTCTTCAGTTTCAACTGATCACGATTAAAATATATTAAAATCCACCATTGATAGATGATGTTCCTCTTAAAATCCCATATTTCTATCGGAAATTTCCATGGATTTCCCACTGGAAGCCACAGCTGCTGGGTGCCCCGATCACAGGCGCTGCAAGCAACACGACCACAGGGCACCGCGAGCTGCACCTGGATGGGGAGGTGACCAACGAACCAAGCAGTGAGTTGAACACCTTCAAAATCAGTGAAAGATAGAGAAAAATGCTACTAAAACCGTAATTGTCACAAAAAAACTGCCATTTATTGGGATCATAATTGCTATCCCCAGTTGTGGCAGTATTAAACATATATACAGACAGTTACCTACCGGGTGACCGCTGGGCAGTGATTTCACCATGGCAATTCAGCAAAGAAACCATCGCTGAAGTTTTTCTGTGCGGCCCCGGCTGCATCCCAGCCTGGCAGACGGCGTCTGAAAAGACGATTTACCCTCTGGTTATTTAACGTAGCCATGTTATAGATGGCCCATTTATAGATGGTTTACCTATTAAAAATGGTGATTTTCCATGGCTATGTTATGCTATGTTGAATAACCAGATGGTATTTATCCAAAATCCGTGTGCGATCTGAAGATCCTCAAGAATGAAGGTGGTTGCTTTAAGCACCGCCACATGAATTTTCGGTCGCGGTTTGGTTTTCAGGGTGAATCAGTGCATAGATGTTGCTTTTGGTGCCCATTGCTGGATTGCCCGATGCCTTGAATCCCAAATTAATCATGGATCTTTCAGCACTAAGCATTGGTTTCCGAAGTGGCAGGGAATGGGACAAAAAAAAACCTGTGTGATAGGCGTTTGGAGCTTGTGCCGTGTATCTAATGACCTGCCTAAGTCTGAAGAAAACAACATCTCCTGTTCCACTATGTGGACCCTAGAGCATCTCTTAAAGCTGATTTCCATAGTGTTTCAACTGGCTGTGCAGTGATGCTTTGACAGCAGTGTTTACTTTTCCACTGCCACAAGCACCATGGAGTTAAATCCACCCGGTGGACCCCACAGCCGCTGCAGCAACGCGCTAAAGCTTTGCCTTGAATCCATCAAGGCGGTCGCAGGCGATGGCACCCACATACCTCAAAGGTATCACTGGATGTATCCCACAGGCGATCATGTTTGCTTCTGTTTGGCTATGGCTAGTTACGGCTAGTTGTCCCAATTCCTGCCCGCAAATGCGGTCAGAACCATTCTTGCCAACCACTTGTTGAGATGATCTCAGGACTTCATGGGCTGTGGTTGTTCGGTTCTTAGGCGCTTAGGTGCGCGGTCTGGTTGTGACAACTGAGAATCCACAGTTGAAATTTGGGCAGGGGATCAACACAATCAACACCAAGTTGATACATATTAGGAGAATTCCCTTTTGAACCCTCAGCGGCCTCAGCGGCCCAAAAAACAATTCAGCACTAAGCTTGTTCGAGTGCCCACCTTTGTCATGAAGGGATTCAAGCTGCGTTGAAAATCCAAGAAACATCGATGCTACACAGCCATCTCATCTCTGCAGCATCTCCGGATGCGTGTTTTGGGAAAACAAATTCATCGCCAAGTTTTAGAAGCTAACTTGAAGCTAAGGTTTGCTGTTGTCGTTTTCCTAGCAGCTGTATAACTTGGTATGACTGTATGACCCACAAAATCCGAAGCCTGCAAGCTGGTCTTCCCCAATCACATCCCACAATCAAATATCAATCTCTCAAGACCCAATGCTCAAACTCTAACAGTTCAATATCCTCTTCCCTTCCATCTGGGTGTCCAGACGAAAAGAAAACGAAAATGATGATGAAGAAGCCGTGGCAAACGGGAGCGGACGGATGACAACCACACACACACACATAAACCCTAACAGCAACAACAATTAACCACCTCATTCAAACCAAACATCACCAGATCACTTTAGGGGCAAAATCGTCCCAAAATCCCCAACACAAAAAACAAAGATAAGGATGAAACATTGAAAAATAACATCAAAAACCATAACAACCAACAATGAATGCTGGGATGTCCCAGCATCCCCCTTTTACCATGTTTTTCCAAAGATTACCTTCTTCTTGACAGCTCCAGCATGAGGGGTGCCACCCCAGTCCTTCGTTGCCAAAAGTGGCCTCCGTTCTCTTCCTCTTCCTGATCGCCATGCCAACGGATGCGGCAGAAAGGGCACCGCGCCAAACCTCAACGGGACGGCGGGGCCCTTTTGGGTGAACTCCATGCGCGTCTGGAGAACTGTCACAGTGGTAAGCACACATCGCTGCTTTAAAGCTGCATCCAAAGATTTGGGATCCAAAACCCCACAAAAAACAATCCATGTACTTTGCCAAAGGAAAACCATTTTGGTTTGAGGACCTCCCCATCTTGTCGTGAACACCGACATGGGGCATTTCCTTTTGAACCGTACAGCCAAACCCATGGCTTTCCCCTTCTTTCAGCAACAAAAATGTCGCCCAACCGCATGACAGCCCCCATTTTTTTCGAACCATCCCATTGGGGGGTTCCGCTCCCCAGCAGGGCCCAGCAGGGCCCAGCAGCAAAGCTGACAGTGGCAGCAGAGGGATTGTTGGCAACAGTCCAGCTTCACAGCCCAATGTCGTCCCACAGGTTCAGGCCGTTCCTCCCCCTGCGGCACCTCTGGCTCCTGAGCTCAGAGAGCGAGCAGTTGATGTGACGAAAATCTCTCTGAGGGTTGCAGCTATATTAATCACTGAATTCGCTTCGCAAGATCTCTGTAGCCCTTCCAGTGATTCTGTTAAACTCCAGGCACCGGCTCGTAGGTCTCGAAGCAAATGGGGCAGTCATTCAGCGGATCCATTGCGCTGAGGATAGGGGAGGAGACTGATCGACTAGTTGTTTTTCTTTTATGGGGATCCCCAAAACCATAGGTTTCAATACTAAAATGGTCTAATGACTTGGATGATTTGGGGTACCCCTATTTTAGGAAACCTTCATTTTGTGATGTCACACCATCCCAACTCTGGTCATCTGGAAAGTTTTGCTTTTATCACAAGAAATAGATCTACTTGTCTATATATGATCCTAAGAATATCTTACACCAACTTTTAGCAACCTGTCCGAGTCTACCGCACTGCTGGGTGATGGGATGTACTTGTGTGGATCTCTTTCACGAGGACCTTCGCTTCTTTCGAGCCACACGTCAGCGACAGCAGCAAAAATCCGATACGGCTCTGTCACTGAACGTTAATGCACAAAACAAAGACATCAAGTGGGAGATTTCAGGATCATTCCATAATTCATCTCGCAGGAGGCACGGAGTCTCAAAAACATCAAAAACTAATCTGTGTTTTCAGAGTGGTTTTGGGGCGCTTTTTGACGGGAATCTAAGACTAGGGGAAGAAATCCATACCATGAGCCCAATTAATCTATAATTCATCTATAATTCATCTATATACAGTATACATGTACCAGCCATATATCATCCACAACTCTGCCAGAAATAGGTGGTACAATGTACAGACCATCGCCACCTCTAAATATCACTAGTAACTAGGCATTGGGATGGTGAAATGCAGGTTGTTCCAGGTCCTGCGGCCCATAAACAGGCGCCTTCTGGCTCAGACATCAGGCCGGAAAAGCCGAGGTGTCGGTTGTGAGTCGGAAGGCAACTGGGGGATGAAGATGCACCCCATGTGAAACATGGCCAGATTCGGAAACGATTCAGAAATGATTCGATAAACCATGAGATGGTTTGTGGGCGGAACTGAACATCTTCAAATACGCCCAAAATTTCCAAGCCTTGGGTTTTTTTGGGGGGTCCAAGATTTGGTGCATTATTGGGTCTTCGAAAAGTCACTAACTTCTGTGCATTCACCGGGCCAAAGATATAGCCACTTTCATATGGGAAAATTGAGCTAGATCAGAAAATTGTGAATCCACTTTGACAGTTTTTGGATTTTCACATTTGGTCTTTTGCAACTTGACTTCAGCCAACGAAACACCTGGAGCCAAGGCCAAGGTGGAAAATGTCTGAGAAAAACGGCAACCTACTACACCTACGGACCTAACAATGGGTGGATTTGCCTTGTCATTTCCTCGAAATTGCAGGACCATCTAGGACAAACTCCCCTTTCCAACGACCTGGCTCTGAAATCCACTGGTTCATCATTACCCTCTGGTAAACGTTTACATAACTATGGAAAATCACCATTTTTAATGGGAAAACTCACTATAAATGGCCATTTTCAATAGCTATGTTAAATTACCAGAGGGTATTTCCCTACCTGAGTCGTCCCAAAATGGGGAGTCCTGTCATGGGCACTCAACAACCGCCTAGGCACGCTTTCCGAAAGACCCACCTGAGTTGCTTGGAGGCATTCCAAATTGTGATGTCACAGGGTAATCCTGATTTCCCAAAACATCCGAAAAAACATGAAAGCTGCGAGAAAATATATGGTTCACTTCCATGCACACGAGTTCAATTGTGAAAATATGTCCTCCAGGCTGGGCAATTATCTTGTCAGATGCGTCCGAAGCAGGTCCCTTAGTGTTAGAGCGTCACCATGGTCTCAACAAGACTTGCAGGAGAAATTGTCGACGGATCAATTGAGGTGGCATGACTCATGCCAAAGTCCATTTCAAAAGGTCAAAATTTTTGTTAGTAAAACAACCATTTCATCCCTACTTGAGGGAAAAACCACGACCTTTCGACAATTTGAAGCCATGGCCATTGAAATCCCCTACACGGACTGGTAATTTGTTCCAGTTTGCGGACCTGGAAACTGGAACGTCAGCATAGACCCAGCCACTGCCTGGAGAACGAACCCAAGGACCAAGTCTTTTTCTTGGGTCATGGGAAAAACCGCGATGGGAAAAACGTCCCAAAATCTGTGACCCGAACAGTTTTGATGTGCAGAAAACATTGATGTTGACATTTTGATGGACAGGTGAGATCTGTTGGTTTTCGTTTGCTGGCACCTCCGACACATCTCCAGCGGCAAGACCTCGGAGAAACGTGGAACTCCGAGGTACGCAAGCAGCATGCCATTTTTCTGTTGATATGGAAAAATGTTCAAAAAAAACGGTTGGTAATGCTTGGTATCAATGTATCAAGTACAAATTCACAAATGATTTCAATTTCGCCATTGTCATATTCCGCTTGAGGCAAGCACCCCCCAACAAAAGGAATGACCAAAAGTGGCCTTTTTTGCTGCCACTCAAAGCGGCCACCAGTGCGAGTACAAAACCCCAGAAAAGAACACAACATCCAATATCCAATGCGTATCCAATGTTCAATGCATGGTAGGATCTGCTACTATTAATTGTGTTTTGAAGATGCAACCATTTGTGTCAATTGTTCCAAAAAAAAATGTCATTGAATTTTGGCGTAGTTTATATACCTTCACAAGAAAAAATGATTTGATTTCCAGCCAATGGAACGGAAGCCAGCGACCGTTTGCAAAACTCGGTTTCCAATCAGCCACGACAAACACAATGATTCAAACAGTTGCCTCCTTTCAGTTTGGAAATTGCAAGAGAATGGTTCAATCCAAACGTCGACCCAAATCATCATGTTTGGCCACAGCGTTTAAAATTTAAACATCAATGTTTCTTCCAAGGGGCATGGAACCCATACCCATATTTGTTGTTTCAAACACCTTCTTATGCAAGTTTCGTTGGTTTCATTTTGGCCAAATACAAAACAGCACTGCAAAAACATGAAATGTGAAAACAAATTCAACAACAGCGCCAAACCAAGATCGGGGAAAGACTCAAAATGTCACAAAACAACACATGGTCGGAAAATTGTCCACCCTTGTTCCAGCCACGGGGATCATTTACGACACCACATTTGGCTCATTTGCGACCCCAAAATCCACCTGAGTCTAGATCAATTACGACACAACCTCGACAACGTGCAACACAGGCAAGGTTTTTTATTTAGAGGATTGGCGTGAAGGGACCTGAAGGGAGATGTTGTTTCAGTTTGTAGCCCTGTTCTTTACAGAACGAGGGGCCATCAAAGCGCAATTTTAGTTGCATCATCCACATTTTCCACATCTTTTCATCACCACCACCACTCATTTCTTCCATCATTTCCATATGCTTTTGTTGTCTTCACATGTGGTGACCAATGCCCTATCTTCACTGTACACCTACACACTTCCATTCCTTATTGTATTCTGTCAAATTAGAGGCGCTGAACGCATAGCGGCCATCATCGTTTTCCCGTCCTCAATTTGCTGAATGTCACAATTGGGGACGTCGGGACGTGGGGCAAATCACAAACCCTACCCACAGCCCAGAAAGCGTCTATTCTTGGGTTGCCACATTATTACACGTCTATGTACATCTGTATCTGGAGATGCCAAAATATGCAGTATTTTGTAACTGCTCTGTTCAGTGGCCAACACTATTTCTTTGGACCGAAGGTATCCAACAAAACTAATGTTCGATATACCCTGCAACCCCATCCCATCAGACAATTTTTTCCAGTGACTTCCTCTTTCTGGTCCGGCATTGCCGGTCTGGGCAACAAAGCTGGGCAACATCCTCATGAGGACCTCTTTATTCATTAAATTTCATTAATGTATCTGCACAAGTTGCTTGTTTTACTTGAGACAACTTGGAGACAACCAAGAGACAACCGAGAGACAACCGAGAGACAACCGGGAGACAGCCGGGAGACTGCCGAGAGGACATTTCGGCAGGGTGCTGGAGCCTGTGGAGGAGCTTGGCACTGCACCTGTTGACAACTGATCTGTCGCCAAAGCTAGGAGGGTCCTGGACTCTTTGAAAGTGGATCTTCCTGCATGTTTTACTCATCTGGGAAAAAAGATGGGTGCAGAAATGCACGTATTGTCACTTTGATTGTCCACCCCTACGGTAGACCAAAGACATTTTTGTGAGCAAGCATGGACATAGGAGAAACTGCATCTAGTCATCCTGCTTTGAACAACAGAAAGGACATCTTTCCCGGCGACCGTGCACTTGATCAGCGATTCAGAGATCTTTGGCCAGTTGAAGCAGGTCATCCGTCCGAGACGAGAAGTCTAAAGATATACTGACTGACAGTGATGCAGTGATGCAGGTTGACAATTTTGCAGCCCCATATCGAAGATAAGGTCAGCAAAGGGGAATTGTCAAGTTGCCAACTTGGAAACCACATGGCGTCTCTGCAGGTCTGGGAAACTGTTTGCACTCGTGTGATTAGAAGCTCTGTTTGTATCCTTTGATACATTATATAGATAGGTACGGCATATCTGCAGTTTCCAACAATCTCGTGTAGTTCATTAATGATTAATGAAGAAGCTGTGATTCCAGCATGCAGCTCACAAGCAAGCTACCTGTTGCATCAGCCGAGCTCCGTGAAAAGGTCTCATGGTGAAAACTTCGCATGGTGGAAACGTCCAAGTCCAGGATTGACCCAAGTGAATGCGACAGGTTCTCATTTGCTTTGGACATCTATGACAAACCGCGGCTTACCTTCCAAAGAGCCTGATTGCTTGGGATGCGAAATTCTGCATGGTTGATTTTTCCAACTACGAGCTGTCTGCCCAACTTGATGCGGGGTAAGGGACTAAAGCTAGCTTGGCAGGGAGCTTGACATGACACAACGATGCTGAGGACATGCCGACGGTGTCCCCGGGGGATGGAGCCACAGCCAAACTGCCCGGGTGAACCAGCCAGCCCAGGCCGGGGAAGGGCCGGGGGGGGTTTGTTAAGTATGAAGTTTCATGCGGTTGGAGATTCCAGCCCCCCCAATACCTTGCTAAAGCAAGAGGGACTTCAGCTAGCAGAAGTTAGTTTTCGTGATCAAATTCTTTGAACAATGGAATGAAACGGGTGCTGGGAATC